CCCCCCCCCCCCCCCCCCCCCTCTCACAAGATATAAACTCATCTTCTCCCCTCCATTTAGCTCAATCTTCTTCTCTATCGAACCACCTACCTACATTATACCCCAAACACTACTGCCAGGCCATAACAACGAAGGATATACATCCAAACCCACGAATCAACCCAGTACTCGCTTAAATCACTCCAAATAACCGACACCATGGATTCCGGTGCTCCTCAAACTGCTCCTACTGGCAATGTGAGCAGCCGTCGCCGAGTAAGTTCCGTCTTACACCTCTTTTGTAAACATCAGTCTACTAACATAACATTCATCAGAGCTCAGGCTTCATGCCAGCCTTCGCCAGCCTTAGCGAACAGAAGCGAGCCGGCGATGCCAACGCCGCCCGTCGTGCGAGCATGTCGGACCAACAAGCAAAGGGTGGCTTGTTCAGTCAGTTCTTCCACAAGTACGTCACTATTATCACATCAAATCTGGTCTCTGATATTGACATCTGTAACAGCACTTTCGGCAAGAACGCTGCTAAATAAATGAAATGAAAAGACGACAAATTGAAAGAACTGGCACTGTATTATTATTAGTATCATGATGGCGGATTGCAGGGTGTTTGGGCCCTCGAGTATTGTTTTGTTTGCGTTTGGTAGTTACCTGGTCTAAGAAGATGCGGAGCCAATTGAGATGTTGAAATACTCAGCAAAATGAAACGATTTTGTCCAAATTTCTGCATCCCGACTTTGTGAAGAAAGTGTCGCGATTTGCAAGTTTAATATAGAAATCTATGCTTCAAAATTGTTAAGGAGCTGTATCCCCCGATGACACATTAAGCAACTCGTCCAGTTCACCAAATCGAATCTGTTTCTGCTGAGGAAGATACCAGATACCTTTACCGTAAAATGCTGGTTCAGCTATTTCATAATGCAATAAAACATCCTTCTAACATTACCATGCAACCTGACGCCTCTGCAACAATGCAATATACATTCGTATATCCGACAGTTACGCTAAAAATACCCGCAACCATCTAGTCTAGGTGCTTCTAAGTGCGTATCCAAGCAACCTGTTTACATCTTCGTATTCTATGCTTTGACCATGAAAATCTATATAAGTTTAGTAACCTAGCCATGTATCTGTGACGAGTAGTACATACCTGGTTCAGTGCCTTGGTGTCAAGCACAGCCTGTCGCTTCTGCGCAATAAATCGTGACCGCACGAAATTCCTGCTCCCTCTAGGTGTCGATGTGCCAGATGGTGTTGTGGCTCCTGTTCCGGGGACCGAAGCCGTGGGCGTAGAGTTCTGCGTGACCGATGTGCTGGTTGATTCGGATGCTTGCTCTTCCTTCTTGCGCTTCTTCTTATCTTTCTTATCTTTCTTAGACTTCTTTTCCTTCACCTTTTCTTCGTCTGAGCCCTCGGGGGACCGGCTCTTGGACTTGGACTTGGACTTGGACTTTCGCTTCTTTGAGCGCTCTTCGACGTTCTCGTCGTCTGAGATATCCTCTGTAGACTTTTTGAGGGACCTCTCCTTCTTGTCTTTTTTCTCTTTCTTCTTCTTGGCCCTGGCCTCATCAATGTCGCCCTCCTTTACTTTTCGCTCTTCCTTGCGTCTTTTCTTGCTCTTCGAATCTGTTTCTCGACTTGTAGTTTCCTCGTCGTCCTCGTCGTCGGTTGCCTTTCTCTTCTTAGACTTCTTCTCCTTTTTGGATTCTTTCAGTGCAGGGGCAGACTCCATGACAACATCATCGTCGGAGTTTGACTCTGTTTGCTGGTCGGCCTTCTTCTCTTCCACTCCCTTCATCTCGTCGCCCACCAGTAGGCCACCGTAGACAAACTTCATGACTCCGTATCGTTGCTCAACAAAGTGGTGCGTCTTCACAGCGAGTCGCGCTTGTTGATCCTCCTCGATAGCATCATCCGTCTTTCCGTTGAGCCGACTGAGCAGATCTTGGAAGACATCTAGACCAGTAACTTCATCCTCTTTCGACTTGCTGAAGCCCAATCCCTTCATGTCATCCTTAAGCACCACGCGAATATATGAGGCGTTGGCGGCCGTGTGCAATTCCGAGTGCGGCGCATCTTGTGCTCCGAGGAACTGGCCCGGTTGCCAGCCTTGAGCTCGCAGGATCTTCTGGCCGAAAGTATTCGTATCTTTAGTCCATTTTGTGTTGTTTGGATCCTTGTTGATCTTCCGTCGACTGTGGTTGGTTAGCGCATACTGTAGAAGAACGCGGCTTGAGAACATATGCCCCTTACGTCTTGTTTTCTGCGAGGAGTCCCATTTTTGCGATCTTGAAGTTTTGAAAGATCCGAGCCTCAATGCGTTCGCGATGGCAGAGTTGGACAAGCCTGGAGAAAAAAAAGGTGGGCGGTGGGGATATGTGGCAGCGAAAAGATCTTATCGCAGGATATCATTGGCCAGGCAAAGGACATGAACACCCCCTCCCTCTGCGCTAGCTTATCTTCACCGAGACTCACCGAGACTCACCGAGATCTCAATGAACTCACTGCCATTTAAAAACTTCGATTGGGACCTGTAAAGATTGGAGTACTCAGGATAGTCCACATATTGTAGCATAAGCTTACAGGCTCTTCCGCTAAGACATTCTCAGTTTCTAGGACTGGATCAAAGTTGAAGTACTCCTTCACAGGTATACTGGACTAGGAACGCTTCTACAGTATAGCAACTAAGCTAATTGAATCACGCATGAAGCCTTCGTTTGCACCGTTCTAACTTGCATCAGGGTTCCTCCCAGTAAGGTCCACAGGGCTATGTGCAGAATTGCGGTCGCCTTCTAGGCATCTCCGTTTCTTGGAACCTTTGAGCAGGAGGATAGGGGGGCAACAATTGGATCTAAGAAGCATTCTGTAGGTAACCATTATTTTCAGGACTGTTTGTCGATCAAAAACTAGCATGAGAGCAACATGTGTAGGCATATGATACATAGAGTCTAAAGGCAGCGACCTTTCCATGATCCAGGTACCTAGTGATTGATATTAAGAAAAGCAGCAAACTCCGAAGCGTCCAAATCGCATTGCTCTGGAAGGAAAGCATAATGAGCAGTTTAGTAATTGAGCTCACCACTTCCACCACCCGAAACCTGGTCCAAGTCCTCATAACTCTTGAGGCTTCGGCCCTGGACTGCCTCCCGAGGCCCGCCTGCAGCACCTCCAGCGCCGTCACCCCAGCGTGACCCGCCATTGCGGTTACGACCACCGTCAAAACGGTTGCCGCCTCGGCGATCATAAGGTCCAGAGCGGTATTGGCCTCGTCCGCCACCCATTCCTCCACGACGGATAGGTCCTCCGCCAGAGCGTTCGTCCATAGGGTTCCAACTTCCGGATTGCATGTTTGCAAACATGGGCGAAAAGTTGCCTGGAGCCATGGGAAAGCCAGGCATACCTCCTCCCATCATACCATTCATGGTAAAGTTCTGCAGGTTGAAGCCTCGTGGTGTTCCGCTACTGGATTGGCCATTGGAAGGCGGGAAGTGACCATTTGAGTTTGCGTCGGTTCTTGAGGGTGCAATGTGAGAGGGGTCCATTACATATGAGTTTATGAGTTCAAACTGAATATCTTGGTTAGTACAGCACGATGAAATGTGACGCGGCGAGAACTTACCTCTTGCCTCAGGTTATCAAGCCAATCACCGTGGCGCTTCTCAACGTGCTTGCGCCAAAAATGCTCTTCCTTGAACAGCTTGGAGCACTCGGGAGCTTTGCACCGCCATTTGTGTTCGTCCTCCTGCTTGACATGTTTAAGAAGCTCTTCATCGACAGCCTCATCAGCAGGTCGGCCACCCAGCTTTCGAATATCGACAGACTGAGGGTCCAGAATCTGGGTAAGCTTATCTTCAAAAGTTTTAACCCAGTTAAACGCTCGAAGCAGTTGCTGCTCCGTCTTGTTTGAGGCGTTTCGAAACTTCTTTTCACCTTCAGTAAGCTCGCCCTCGTTCTCTTCTGCTCCTTCGCCCCTCTTCTTGCCTGGGAAGGGCTCTCCATTGGCGCTGGCTCTAGCAACAGCTTTCGCGGCAGACGAAAGTGTGCTGCGAGGTCTGCGCAAATGGCCACCAGGGCATTTTCGTGTAAGTTCGTGAACTGAATCACTTTCGAAAACACAAAAGAAGCAGAAGTTGAAGACGCGGCGCAAATATTCAATCAGAAGATCAAGTTGTTTCTTCTTTACCAAGAGATCCTCGTCATCAACTTCTTCATCTTCTACAGCCCCCTCCTCCTCTTCCTCTTCCTCCTCAATTTCAATGACGCCGTCTTCTTCCTCGTCCATAGCTTCGTCCATTCCCACTTCTCTGATCTTCTTGACTTTCTTGACAGGGGTTGGAACCACAGCTGGTTGAAGCTGACCTCCGTTTCTCAGGTCTTCGACCTTTTCTTCAATTTTCAGAGTGGCTTGGAAATCGGATCCGAATTCTTCCTCAAATTTGTTGACAATTCGCTGAACAAGCAAGAGGTCCTTGTCGATGCGCTCAGGGGCAGAGAAGAGATCCCACAGAGCCTTCTTTCGGGGATGGACAGGTGGGTTATGGACTCCAACGTGGCAAACAAAGTCTCCTCTGACCTCATCTTTGACAGTCTTACCATTGATGGCCTCCAGAGCCTTGTCGGCAGTAGATACGGGCTGAGGAGATGTTATCGCCTCATCACCATCCTCATCCTTGGGTTCAACGCGGTCTACGGGGAGTGATGTTTCGGATGAAGAGTGAAGCATGACCCAACCAATACGGTGGTACCGCTTACTTGGGTTGGGATCAGATAAAGAAAGCCACTTGAAGCCACCTTCCTCCTCGCCGAGATGTTCCTTACAAAAGGCCTCGAGGTTCTGGCGGCTAACATGTGGGGCGATGGTCTTGATCAAGAGAGTTGGCTGGAACTGGCTCTCGTCGCGGATGTCAGCACCATTGACTGGAACCAGATCTCCAACACCCAGGATCTCATTTGTGGCTGTAGCCTCTCCCTCTTCCTTTTCAACTACACCGCCACTGCCGTTACTCTCACTCTTGGGAAGACCCTCGAGAGAAAAGTCATCAAAAGTACCCGATTCAAGATCTTGCTCCCACTGGCTGTAAGCACCGCGTCGGTATTCGTTCAGCTTTCCTCTGAAATCATCACGAATTTCCGGAACATATCGCTCCTTGAACCATTGCTCTTTCTTATGTTCAGAAACAAATGTCCGCGCCATCTTGGCTTGAAGTTCTTCTTTATAAGCATCATAGGCAGCTTGGATCCTGGCCTTCTCCTTTTCGCGATCTTCTGGGCCGCGAGCACGTTCCGGTTCACGGCGTCGACCAGTACGCATGCGCTCCTTCTCCTCCTTGATTTTCTCGTTCATTCTCCACCATTCTCCAAAGTAGGAGAAGCCAACTTGGTAATGGAGCTTGGAAGGGTCGGGGATGGGGTTCACAGTTGGATTAGTTGACCCGGAATCCTGACCAGGTACGTATCGGTCAATATTGGCAGGTGGTGACTGCATGCGTCGTCTATCATCACGATCTCGATCGTCTCGTCGGGGTCTAGGTTCGTAGCGGTCGACAGTGGCTGGAGAGCGAGACCGGCGGCGATCGCGGCGGTCGTGGCCTTGAGACTTGTAAGCTTTGTCTATTTTCACTGTGCTGAAGCCTGCCACTACTTGGTGGCAGGAAGCAAAACCGCCTTTGGAGTACGAACCTGGAGATCTCCCACGGTAAAATGAGTCCCCGCGGTCAGGACGCTCATCTCGGGTACGCGAGTCATCTCGGCTCCAACTACGATCAACTGGAGAACGAGCTGAAGCGTCGCGAAAAGATGTGTACGAGTCCATCGTTTATATCGTTGCCAGCGACGCGACGCGGCATGAAAGAAAGCGATATTTCTGGGTGAGCCTTCGCGGATCGATATTGAGCACTTGGCGAGGAATGTAAAGGAATTATCTATGGTTTGGTAACATGATCGACGTTAGAGAGGTTATCTTGAGCAACGTATGGACAAATGGTAGTGGGGGGAACAAAAAGAAGGTTGCCAAAGAGGCGCCATGAAGAAGAAAGTTGGGGGACAACGCGCCCTGGGCGAAGAATGAGCGTGAGAAGAATTAAGAAGAATGGTTTGAGAACCGCTGACGGGTATGCCGCGTCAAAGAGTGAGGAGGAAGGGAGAACGCGAGGCTGCGGATGCGGCTGGATCGACGAGTTGGAAGAGCTGCAAGAGGGATAAGGGGGGAAAAGAGCAGGAGATCAAAGAATATGGGGAGACAAACTAATTGACGAGCGCAGTCTTAAAGAAGGATTCAATGGGGTGATAGCGCTTGAGTCGAGATATGCGCGCCCTCACTTCACAGCGATAACAATTCAATGCGATTCGACGTGATGAGTGAAGTGAGGTTGAAGAGGCTGAGTTGGTTGGTAGGCTGGGGGCCAGTCGGAATTGCAGTTCAGCTGGTAAGCGAAATAGTGGAGCACGGGCTAGGATCCCCGGGGCCTCCGCTACAAAGAAGATGGATTCGATGCCGAGAACGAGAAGCTCTGAGGCTGCTCTAGGAAAAGCGCGATACTTTGCTACCTTACCGAATCACATTGTTCTATGCTATTTCTCTATTTGATAAGTAACATTTTCTGAGATTTCTAAACACTATATCTCACCTGCTCTACCTTGATTTATTATCAACCTAAGGTAGGTAAGTAGTTTTCAATTGATGCCGCAATCATTAAACGGTCTGAAGGCAATGATTTACCTAGGCTCAAGTACCTGATGTGCCTTTCCTCCGCAATAAATTGACCAATAATCAACGAGAAAAGGCCTGTCGGCAAGCAGCGAATGTTGATACAGTGCCTAGAAACAGGAAAGTGGCGATCTCCGCTTGCAACTAACACTGAAATCTGGGGGAGTATCCCGATATGCTCAGTGCTTTAGTCGCTAAAAGGGCGGCAAACAAGGCAGCTGACCAAGATAAGATGTCTATTTGTTCGGATATTGTTATAGCCACGTCGGTCCTATCTCCTCCTTTGTTTTACAGCCTGTTCAGCCAAACTGGAGCAACTTTAGGCCCTGGTATCATAACCAACTTCCCTCCTCGGCTTGGGTTGAGCATGTCTTCTCCTCCACTCTTCACCCCACTCCCACTCTCTATCGGTCGTGATAGTGCCTTAGAATTCCTCATCAGAATATGATAAGGGTTGTGCGGCGTATAATAAGCTCTCAATATCCACCGGAAGTGCTTGGCCTTTTTGTGTCAAAGGGCCTTGAAACATTGGGAACTTTGGTTTCCCTTCACTCGACTCATCTTGCACATAGG